ACTTGTTTTTTTAAAAACATTTTTGAAATGTTTTTTATGACATTTGTACAACGTCTAAATGTAAGGATTACAATATTTTAAAAACATTTTTAAATGTTTTTGTTATATCATATCTATAACATTTAAAAGATGTTGTAAAAATGTTTCTCTTCTTTTTTGAAAACATTATAATGATATCACGAAAACATTACATGTGGACTGTTTGTAAGATGTTTTTTAAACATTTTGAAAAAACATTCAAAAAATGTTATTTTAATAGTTTTGTTAAAAACATTTTTGAAATGTTTTTTGTGACATTTTTACAACGTCTTAATGTAAGGATTACAATATTTTTACAACATTTTTAAAATGTTTTTGTTATATCATATTTATAACATTTAAAAGATGTTGTGAAAACGTTTCTCTTCTTTTTTGAAAACATTATTATGATATCACGAAAACATTACATGTGGACTGTTTGTAAGATGTTTTTTAAACATTTTGTAAAAACATTCAAAAAATATTATTTTAAATTTGTTGTTAAAAACATTTTTTAAATGTTTTTTGTGACATTTGTACAACGTCTAAATGTAAGGATAACAATATTTTTACAACATTTTAAAAATGTTTTTGTTATATCATATTTATAACATTTAAAAGATGTTGTGAAAACGTTTCTCTTCTTTTCTGAAAACATTATTATGATATCACGAAAACATTACATGTGGACTGTTTGTAAGATGTTTTTTAAACATTTTGAAAAACATTCAAAAAATGTTATTTTAATTGTTTTGTTTATAACGTTTTTGAAATGTTTTTTGTGACATTTGTACAACGTCTTAATGTGAGGATTACAATATTTTTACAACATTTTAAAAATGTTTTTGTTATATCATATTTATAACATTTAAAAGATGTTGTGAAAACGTTTCTCTTCTTTTCTGAAAACATTATTATGATATCACGAAAACATTACATGTGGACTGTTTGTAAGATGTTTTTTAAACATTTTGAAAAACATTCAAAAAATGTTATTTTAATTGTTTTGTTAAAAACATTTTTGAAATGTTTTTTGTGACATTTGTACAACGTCTTAATGTAAGGATTACAATATTTTTAAAACATTTTTAAAATGTTTTGTTATATCATATCTATAACATTTAAAAGATGTTGTAAAAATGTTTCTCTTCTTTTTTGAAAACATTATTATGATATCACGAAAACATTACATGTGGACTGTTTGTAAGATGTTTTTTAAACATTTTGAAAAACATTCAAAAAATGTTATTTTAATTGTTTTGTTAAAAACATTTTTGAAATGTTTTTTGTGACATTTGTACAACGTCTTAATGTAAGGATTACAATATTTTTACAACATTTTAAAAATGTTTTTGTTATATCATATCTATAACATTTAAAAGATGTTGTGAAAACGTTTCTTTGCTTCCTTCAAAACATTGTTATGATATTATAAAAACATTTTATGTGGACTGTTTGTAAGATGTTTTTTAAACATTTTAAAAAAACATTCAAAAAATGTTATTTTAAATGTTTTGTTAAAAACATTTTTTAAATGTTTTTTGTGACATTTGTACAACGTCTAAATGTAAGGATTACAATATTTTTACAACATTTTAAAAATATTTTTGTTATATCATATTTATAACATTTAAAAGATGTTGTGAAAACGTTTCTTTGCTTCCTTCAAAACATTGTTATGATATTATAAAAACATTTCATGTGGACTCTTTGTAAGATCTTTTTTAAACGTTCTACAATAATGTTCAAAAGATGTTTTAAAAACATGTCCCGAAAATTATCGGAATTGGTACATTAAAAAAATGTTTTTAAAATGTTTAACATAATAGCAATAATGTTTTTTAAATGTTATAATAACATTTTAAAGAAATGTTCTCTTTAAGACATTCTCAAGACCTTTTGAAAATGTTATGATAACGTTATGTGTTAGCTGGGAGGTTCTGCAGAGGTCGAGGAACTCGTGTCTTGTATTTGTCGACTTAAGGGTGTTAACCCTACTTTTTGAGAGAGATGGGTGTGAGAGTATCATCAATGCACACCCGCCCCCGAGTGATGTAGCTACATGGACATGCCCTGAAGTGTGTGACGCTTTCCCGAAAATAGACCAATAAGATTACGATTATTAGATCAGGACATTTCAAAAGTGTTTGATTCGAATCCTAAGCGGATTATGTAGTGCCCATACAAGCACGTGCACAATCTGTTACCTATTGAAGACTTTTTTCTTCTTTCAAGTCATTCTTAAAAGGGTCGGCAGTTTGAATGTTGTGTTTTAAGAAAAAATAGAACGTATGGCAACTTATACGTTTGGGATTAGGGATAAGGAAGGGAAACAATATAAACATGTCCCAATTTTATTATCGTTTGTCGTTCCTGCCGATTTTGAAGAAAACAAAGTTGTGATTTATTTTGTTAAATAAACAATATATAAATTGGGCACCTTTTCACTAAAGTCAGAGTATTCAGGTTTCGTGGTTTGCTTGACTAGTAAGTTTTTCTTTAAAAAAACCCAACAAATCTGACAAACCAGTGTTAAAATGGTGCTTATCTTAAATTTTTAAAAATTAAATACTGCGACGTGCCCCATATAAATCAAATGAAACAAGTTTATGTTAATAAACCTCTTACTGATTAAATACCAAAATTGAGGACCTTTGATGACATTTTTCGTAGCATTATACGAAAGTGAATTGTCAGACACTATTTCTCCATCACTTTTTTTACCTCTCACAATTTTTCTTTCTCTCCCCAGTTTTTTTTTCTCTCTCTCTCTCTCTTTCTAATTTCTTTATCTTTTATTATTGCACTTTTCTCTCTCACTGCCCCCTCATTATGTTTTTCCCCTCTCTCTTTCAGAAATTCAGGTTCTATCATGTCCTATCCAAGGTCTCCCGGCTCTTTTTCTTCATTTTCTACCTCTTACCGTCAATCATGCAGTTATCATGTAACGTATTTTTGCTTTATTGTAGCCTGCTTATAATTACCATAATAACAAAAAGTGTCCTTGTTTTTAACGATGTACATTTTAGAAGAAAAAAACGACGTGCCCAAAATCAGTTCCCATTACTCAGATTTAATTAGAAATCCATTATCAGGCATCGGGCCCTCTTCATTGACATTTCATTGCAATTATGGGCACAATTGAGAGCGCGACTTCAATTACGAAGGCTAATCATACGCTTTGGCCCTATTTTCACAGCGAAGCTATTGAAAAAAATATTCTAATGGGTAATTTGGACATAGAAACTGTGACTATTGCACTGGCGAGTAATTACTGGCTAAAAGCTAGGTATACACCGGTTTTAATACCTTGTCAAATAGTGTTTGAACGAGCTCAGCAAGGGACGAGCAAAGGCGAAGGCTGTGTTGACTTAATCATCTGGTCGATTCGACAGTTCAACATCATTTTATTGTAATAAAGAGATTTCGTCTATTAAAGCCCGGAAATAGCACGCTGGAGCAAAAGTGATAGCTGTCGCATATACTGAAGGCTCTTGCCCTTCGACTAGAAGTCAATTTTGATATCCTTTTAATGGTGTTCTAGAATGCGTTGTAGGTTTGAATTGGTGGATAATGCCATTGAAGGTCAAAGCCAGACGCGGTGTTAAGTGGGGAGGGGGGGGGGGGGGGGTAGGTCACGTATCCCCTGCAAACTCATTTACAGTCGGTTGCTGAATTAACAATGTAGGATCGGGTAACACCAGGTTTGCCCCACCCCTAAGACTCTGGCGCCAGCCCTGGTTAAATACATTACTCCAATTAAGCTTCCATATCTATATTGGGTGATTCCATACACAGGCGATTCCATGAATGGGTGCTAAATACGGACAACGTGGAGACCACATTATATGCGAAATCGTTCACTATCAGGTATGTAATGTCAAGTAATCGGTTAGGTACTCTATACTTTGCCGCCGCCCCCCCCCCCCGATTAGTCAAAACATAATTACCTTTGGCTAAACTCTCCAGCGTGATTCTTCTGCGGTGCGCCTAGGGTCGCTGAGCGAACACGCACGTGATCGCACACAGTACACAATGTTACAAAGAAAATTCCAATCCCTATAAAACCATACACATCTGCATCCTACTTCACTTGTGAACTTTGTATAATCGTGGTGATATCGGTGAATGCGAAGAATAAAGAGAATAGTATAAACTGGCCGATTGATTGCACTTTTTTTAACTTGCCGCTACCGTGTTTCTTTAAAAGTAGGGACTTTTAGATTTGCACGACGAGAACGTGGACTGCGACGTGTGACATCCTTTAAGGCAATACACCAGTTTACAGTTGTGTGCGCCATTTTAAACAAAGCTAATGACCTAGGAGTCATGTATTTATGCGTAAATTAAGATTGCGCCCATGCAAATAATGATGACATCACTGCCTGCGCGCTGCGTTGTGCGCGCACATCATCATTTGCATGGGCGCAATTTTAATTTACGCTTAAATACCAGAGGTCAGAGGTTATTGGCCCTAATTTTGGGGCCAATGACCCGAGGTCAACTGTCTGCGCATGCGCACTGATACAACTGTAAACTGGTGTATATGAAGTTCTTTTAAAGCACTGGCAGTGACGTCACATTGCCTTAAATGCATGGGTGTCACACGAGCAGTCCACGTTCTCGTCGTGGAAATCTAAAAGTCCCTATTGACATTTTACATTACACGTTGGTAAATATGGTAACAAGGAATTTCTTTGTCATAGTGTGTAAGAGACACTATGAACATGACGGACAAAGAAAGAGGACAAAATATACAGTTCCTCATTCTACCCTCAACAATTGCTGTGGTAGACAAAGGAACATCCCTTCACTGCTATTGTGTAAAAATGTGTAGAGCAGGTGAATATGCATGTGACACCTGTTCTACACATTTTTACATAATAGCAGTGAAGGGATGTCCCTTTATCTACCTGAGGAACTGTATATTTTGTCCTCTTTCTTTGTCCGTCATGTTCATAGTGAGAATCATACATCCATCATTATTGAATACATCTTACCCGCTTTCTCTCCTGCAGAGTTGAATGCATCCTACTTTTACGTTTCCCACCGCCTTTCGTGTTGGACGTCGCATCCCCACTCGGTCCGGTGCTCGTTCCGCCGTGCGAGACCACGGTGCTGATCTCCGATTCCATGCCGCAGCTCAGTCTTCCCGTACTGGTCGCCCCGCCTTTCGAGCTCCGAACGCCGTTGTTGTAGACGCCCTTGGTGAGATTCACGCTCTGCATGGTTCGCGTGACACGGCTGCTACGATGGAGGGTTATGATTACCCGGATGTTGCAGAAGAGCATGCCGATAAGGGGGAGGCCGTAGAGTACCCCTATGAAGAAGCTTATCTTAAGTACCGTGCCGGTGTACGTTGTTGTTTCCCGATTGCACACGTTGTAAAGTTCGCCCCCATAATCAACAACGGAATATGACTACAAAGCAAAAAACACAGAATTAATAGAGTGGTGAAGTGTGACGTCATCAAAAATCTAATTTTTGAATTTCTCAATTTTTTCTTCATTTTCCGAAAGAGCATCAAAAATAATGTCCAAATGTTGAAAGCCAATTGAATATGTTAAGTATTGTCTGAGATATGACCATCTGAATAAATATACTCCCCATAGGAGCTCAGTGTTATATGCTCTGGCTCCTAACCACTAGGAGCCAGAGCATATAACACTGAGTTCCCATAGGATATATATTTATTCAGATGGTCATATCTCAGCCAATACTTAACATATATTCAATTGGTTTTCGACATTTGGACATTATTTCTGATGCTCTTTCGGAAAATAAAGAAAAAAATTAAAAATTCTAAAAATAAATTTTTATGACGTCACAGCTTCGGTACTCTATAAGTGGTAATAATTAACATTTCTTCTTCATTATTAAAAAGGTCTTTCGTCACGTACGAGCGTACTTATACTATAAACAGAGGTTTAGCCAACCATTCATGGATTTAAACATGTTTTTATAAATGTCTCCATGTCACATAATCATACTGTGCTTTCAAATGCTTTATAAAGTGGCATATTTTATGAATATTTTGTGGACGTAGCACCGGCCCGGGGGGGGGGGGGGGTACTCACATACTAAGATATACGGGGATGTACCGCTCTAATGGGTCCAACAAAATTTTAGGTGTTTGTATGGCGACCACCCAAAATTTGTGAAAATGGGTACCTTTTTCTGCCAAGATGACCCTTAAAAAATGGGTTGGGGGTTTTGAGGCTTGACCGGCAAACCGCCGTCAAAACCAAATCTGAGGGCCCTTCCAGCCGGGCAAATAATCAATTCTCAATATCTTTTTCAAAATTTCTACCACATGCTTCCCAATAAAACAAGAATGGACATTTTGTAGGCCTACGGTCTATGTGAAAATGAATGTTTCAGTTTCAGTTCTTTAAAAAACACTCTCGTTCGACCCGTTGCTATGACACTTTTAAGAGCACACCGTTGACTCGGAGAGTTAATCATTATAGCCCCTAAAGCAGAAAATCTGAGCCCGCTTCAGCTCTCGACTTCGAATGAGCAATCTGTTAGACTTTGCACTTTGCTTGATGAAAATAAATTGATGTAAAGAAGAAAAATAGAGAACTTAAAAAATGATATAGGGAGTAACTATGGATGTTAACGAGAAGACGTATTTGAATCAGTAGAGCGTCTGTCTGTTAGGGAAGTGATACTCTACGATCTTGACACTTTAAAGATCCGCTCGTATTTATGGTAAAGATTCCGGGAGCCACCACCACCTCATGCAGTGGCACACCTTCAAAGCCAAACCAGTATACAGGCAGGTAAAAACTAATAGTTTAATTCTGGGGTGGTTATATTTATTAAGTTTCTCTCGGGTTCCTCTTTCAATTTCAGAGAAAGAAAACACCAAATGCTTTTATTGGTTCCTTTGTATATAGCCATGAATTTGTAGAATAAGAGAATTCAGAAGATGTTCCTTCAGTCGGGCCTGTTCCACGCACACCCAGTTGATTATAGATTTTGCCTTAAATGATTGAACAATTGCACGGATCTTTAAATGACGAACATTATTTTATACTCACTGTGAATGGTATCGAAACTAATGACAAGAGAATCGCTATTAGCCACGTCACATTCACGATAATCAACCCCATCTTTTTCGTGAGCAAAACTTTGGCTTGTAGCGGGTGGATGATGACAATGTACCTGGAAAATACAAATCAACAAAGCAAGGATTTATTATAAACGTAAAATGGGTTTAGATTCATGCTTTTGGTTCAAATTGAGACATTTGTGATTGAACAAAGCACATATTATGAGATCTACACTAAATCGCGGACAAAATATATTAATATCTCCCATAGGTGCACTCTAAAGGTCACCATAGTTGTAACACAATATAATAGCTGAGAACTTGCCAAGATTTGTAAGTGGATGTCATACATGTATCTCCATACAATCAAAACTACACTTACCACTTTTTTGTTTGTTTTTAGTGTGTGCTTTGTATATATGCATTAAAAACAAAGAAATATGAGCCCTGCGTCTCCTGAAGGCCAGAAGGGCATTAGAACTTTGCAAATAAGTAATTTGATAAAGCGCCCTCTTAAAGCTCGACATAAAATTCTCCACTTTCAGCGCTACTGACAAGAAGAAGTGCGTTCACTCTATGCAAAAGGATTTTCAGTTGACGCCCTTTTATAAGTTTGTATAACAATAACAAGTCATATTGAAATCATCTTCTTGCCTTTCAGCGCTAATGACGAGCAGCATTATCGCCGAAGAAGCCGGACCGAGGAACCAGAGGAAAGCCACCATATAGCAGCCGATGAACCCGAATTGCCAGCTGCCATGGTAGCTGCTGTAGAGCTGTATAGGGATGAAGACGGCGGCGAAGAGGAGATCGGCAAAGGCCAAACTGCACAGCATCATGGAGGTGAAGGAGATACGACGGTAGGTGCGAAGAATGCTGAAGATGACGACCAGGTTTCCGACCAGGCCGATGGCGATGATGATGCCATAGATCGTGAAAGATGTGATGTTTACCGCTCTGTAGTGAACAGAAAAAGGCAGAAAAGATATTGAACCGTCAGGGAAATGATCTAGGTTGCCTGTTGCACACGAGCTGTTATCCCAATTGCGCTTTGACCTGCGCTAATCAAACCGTTTAGTGTGATATTACGCTTGTAAATTAACACATCAGGCGGTGTCACACAGAGGCCTTTCAGTTATCCGGATTTTAGTTATCCTCTTAATTGCTGTTTGTCATCAATTATCCCATTAAAAATCCTCTAACTAAGCAAGAAAATTCTCCCTTGAAAGGATATTTCAAGGGATTTTGCTGTGTGACACCGCCTATTGTTTGCACTTTTCATTTTGTATGCGCTTTTGTAAGATGACAGTCTCACAAGGTGCGTCTGCGACCGTAACACTGACGCAGTCGTACGTCATTTCGATTGCGTTCGTATCTGCGCTAATCATTCGTGTTTATTCTTCACATAATTTTATGTTTGTATTAAAATTGTGATTTCAATCACAGAAGTGCAATGTTAGGTGGAAAATACATTAAGTTTGCTCCATTTCACTACTCCAAAATTTTCAATTACAATGGTGTTTTTTAAATACTTGCCAGCACTATGGGGCGTAGGTTAAAATAAATAAAAACAGATTTTTCAATTGCATAAGCGCCCTTGTTCGAAGACAAGCGCAGTTAAAATCGTTCAACTAAGAAATATCTCGATAATTTGCCCGTAAACCTCCCACGGGTTACAGTAATCGAATGATCGAAAGATCAATATGAGACGCAAGGCACGTCTAGACGATAATTATGACGTCACAAAAGGAACTTCCATATAAGTGACTCTGTTTAATGATGTCATCCGCCGCACAGACAGCAATTTACACACCTCAACATTTAAAAAGAAGTTAGATCAGGTGGAAAATATAGGATTTTCCGGCCACATTCGCGAGTTTGTCATTTAAATTAATTTGTCTTGCGTTCAAATTCGACGGTTTTAGTGCTGTCAGATATATGTTGGGGTTATATTCATTTTTCTAGTTTTCAAATCTATGAAGTTTTCGTTGGAATCTATGTATGCTTCATTTAAATTAATGAATAATGTGCTTCTTTCGCTATTTGGTCATTCAATTTGGCACAACACGATTTCTGACATCGCGAAGGTGTACTTTTAGCATTCGAATTCATTTTGTAGCATTCAAATTAGCACTTTGTGCACTTAAATTGATAGTCAATATACATTTCTCGTTTATTACACACTTTTTATAGCTCATTCTTCTCTTTCAAGATTGTTTTTGTCCATGTGTATTTCATCATATTTTATTTTCTTGCCTTTATACACTTTATATACTTTTAGATTTATCTGACATTCATCATCCTTTAAGTTTGATTGTTAATAAAGAAAAAAAAACGACTTACATCTATGGACTTGATGGTCTCAATATTTTTGTAAATTTTTATGTAAGGAAGTTGTTTGTTTTGTGTTTCATCATCAATTTATCACAATTTCATTAAGGAGGAAGGGTACAATATTGTGACTGGGGTGGGTATTTTTGTATCCCACTTTTCCGGGGTATATGAACATGTCTGTGCAGAAATGCCATATAATTTGATTTCGCCCCTTCTTTATCTAATGTCTCACTAAACCCATATGCATTGTCCTCAAAATTAATAAATGAAATAAGGCCATTAACAAAAATATACATGTTTAGCGTCCCCGCCCGCTTCCTTTTTGGGGGCCGCCTCCTATTTTTTTTTTCAAGAAAAAAAACATGAAAAACACTGCTAAAATGGATCTATATCTGATTAAAAAAAATACAAATAAAAAATGTCGTGGGCCATCTTTAAAAATAGCCCGACTGTCAGGGAAAACGTACCGAGCGGCCATTTTGAGCGGCCATTTTGAAAGAAAAAGAAAAAGAAAAAAGGGCCTTCTCCTCCCTATTTTTCGACAAAACAGGACGCTAAACATGTTTTTTTTTTTATTTGGCCTAACAGAAAAGACCCTAATGGCAAATCATGCATTTAATTGTTTTTTTTTCTTCAAACTGTAAACGTGTGTTGCATTTCTCCCCCCCCCCCTAACATTCCTAATTTGAATAAACATAATTTGAATACGAATGACAGGTGCTAATTGGAATGATAAAAATGACGCCTCGACAAGTGACGATTAATTTGAATGCTAGTTGAGCAGTTTCTAAATAGAATGACAGATCTATCAAAACCCTTCGACCAAAATTCTAAATTGAATACCAAAACGGGAAAATTGAATGATAATTGGCATGTCAAAGCCGATCTGCGCTAACTTAAATGCAAAGTAAATGAATTCAAATGACAAACTAGCGAATTTCGCCGGAAAATCCTATAGTTTGTTAGCTTCCCATTTTTGTTTTCCAACGTGAAAAAATAGCATACAGCCAATTAAGATTGCTGTGGGAAAGCTGTGATGTTTCAAATAATTATGACTAGAAATGTTTTTGACATTATTAGACGAACCTATAACCAATTGTTTTGTCCTAAGTATCATACAAGTTTTCAGTTCATTGTTGTAATTGTTCAGCAAAATACAGTAATTTTGAATTTTGATGATAACAAACCTTGGGGAATATGTCGGGGGGAAAAAAGTCACAATGCAATATTGCATGACACGTACCCAATATAATCCTTAAGCCCAAACAAGGGATGGACTGCTATCTCTCACCATACCTTTCTCTCTCTCTCTTTCTTTTTAATTTTGAGCAGTATATGAAGGCTGATCAAAACTCACTGAAACTTATTTCTCTCCGCCCATTTGAAATTTGTTTTTAATCCTGTTAAATATACACCCCCTGGCATGATTCTTATCCGACAATAAATTCTTAGTAAAAAGAAAGAAATTTTAGTGCCATGGACAAGCTTACTACCACAAATCTTTAAATAAACAAATAGTTTGACAAAATGTTACAAATGTGGTTAACGAAATAATGTTACATTACTAGTGTCCTCGACAATAATGCTTACTTTGAAAGTAAATTTTCTTTTGCCTTACCCAAACGAGAAACATTTTGTAAACCCAAACGAGAAACATTTTGTAAACAAGCGTTAGATAATAAATAAAAAAAACAAACAACGATAAAACATACTTTGCAAAGCCAGCATCATAGTAGTAGCTCGTTTCGTTTGCATCATTATAATCAATATCCGACTGGGACGTCGGCATGCCGCTGGGAGCAGGGCTGGATGAAAGTCTTGCCAGGAGGCTATCCGACGCACTGCCAGCCACTCCTTCTCCGGCTGCATCATTCGGGGCGTAAGCTGGCCCCGTCATGGCGACTGGTCGACCAGACTATGGTTAACGGCAGATAAATTTTACTTTTTCGTCAAAGTGTTAGTCTCGTCGTGAAGAAGGTATATGGATCTGAAAAGATGAATATTTGTGACGTCATTACAAATCGATCATGTACGAACAAGAACTTAAAATGTGTAAAGCGCATAATACAATTTCTCTTACTTTCAAAGACCGAAACAAGGATACATATTTCTACATTAAATGATCATGATTGCCCCCTAAAGCCACATGGTCTATGGTTTCATTAGTCAGTTGATGCAACGTGGTAGATATACTGTCAATTTAATGTTTGCCTTTCTCGGCTTGCGAGAGTTCATTGGAAAAAGTTTACACAAGGTATTGTATACTTACAGGCTGGATATTTTAACTGCATGAAAAGATTCCTGTTTTTTTCCAAACCAACACCGATGTAACGGGTTGTAGACTAAATAGCCTAAACGGTGATTTAACAAGAATACTGTTTTAACCCCCCCCCCCCCCGACAAAATGAATTTATATGAGCTCAGAGAATATCACATTTACCACAACCCGACTGACGCGTTTCAAAATGCTTTTTCTTTTTGCCTTTACATGCTAAAGGTTAGACATATTTGGCGGTAGATTTTTCATGATTTTGCCGTCGCTTTATCTTTTCTAAACGCCCACTTCACGCATCAACAATATTAATCTCTATGGCAACGTGGAAATCCCCTTCATGTTCCGGACATGTTAATAATAAGAAGCAATATATCACTCTGGATAAAATGTTCCCGCTCCGGTGCAACTCGGGATCCCGGCCTGCGCATTTCCATTTATCATATTCATCCGTTATGGGATTAAGATGATGTTGTAGATGATGTACTAGTCATGTAATTGCATTTTGAAGAAGAAAAACAAATTGTCTATAGAGGTTATTCTGAATAGATGATCATTCGTATAGGAAGTTATTTCCAGTCAGTCTTGCTTGATCTTTTCCTGGAGCTTGCCATGCACTAAACCACACTATTAGCCTTTACCATGTTTATCATAATTCAATTTCTTTTAATGCGATTATTCCACATTATTCAACTCTATGTGAACTCAAGTAAGAACTAAATCCTTCTCTTTGCGACTATTCAACATTTCTCCCTTCATTAACCCAACCTTCTCTTTGAATCGCCGGCAAAGCGGAGAAGAAAAATGTTTTTCACTATGTTCAAGGTCTTAACTAGATGAGCGTGGGCTAAATAAAATTAAATTAAAGGCATTTAAGCAAAACTGCAGGACGTTTATTTAATTATTATGCCAATCACCCACATTCGTGCCGATAATTTCATATCTGGCATTCAAACGCGGATCAATGAGCTGGAAAACGTTTTATCGACGCTTAATTGGAATCGAGTCTATGGAGTAAATTGAGTACTGAGATCGCAAACTGGACGTGAAGGAGAGTAAGGAAAATATGAGGGAAATAGAGAGAGATAGAGAGAGAGAGAGAGAGAGAGAGAGAGAGAGAGAGAGCGAGAAAGAGAGCCTGGGAGAAAGCGACAGACAGATATACCAAGATAATAAAAAAAAAACAGAGAGATAAAAATAATAAGTTTAGGAAGAGAGGAACGAGAGAGAGTAAGAGAGAGAGAGAGAGAAAGAGAGGGAGGGGAGAGAGATAGAGAGAGAGAGAGAGAGAGAGAGAAAGGGAGCTGATCAACAAGGATACAGACATTGATAATTAAGAAGAAGAATAAAGAGGAAGAGAAAGATAACTCGAATAATAAGAAGTAATTAACTCGACATGATATTGTGAAGCGGCACAGTATTAAAGAGGAAAATCAATGACATGATTAAAGTATTCGCCACCCATAACAATAACATGTCAGTTTAGAACAACAAGTGAAAATTAAATCATTAATTATTTGGATGCAGCAAAATTTGTTTGACATTATCGAACTAGAAAGAAGGGGACAGAGAGGGAGAGGGGAAGCAAGAGAGAGAGAGAGAGAGAGAGAGGGGAATAGATAAATACAATTAACTGATAAAGCGGTTTCTGAAATTAAAGCAATTTACATAACATACAGGGTTTAATTATTTTCCAGCCATAACAATTAGACAATTAAAAAAACGTTTATTGAAATCATTAGTTATTTGGGTGAGCAGCGAAATTGGTTTTGATCTTATCGTACAATCTGATAGAAATAGAGAGAAAGAGAGATAAAATAAAGAGGGAGAGAGAGAGAGAGAGAGAGAGAGATGAGGGGTAAGGCAGAAGAATATACTAGCCCAAAGGATTTAAACTGTAACGTGAAATATTGTTATCCATCTGTAACAAGAACATGTTAATTTAAAACAACCAAAAATGATTACATCATTTATTTGGGGGGTTCAGCGAAATTCGTTCGACTTTATTGGTCCAGTGAAAGAAACAAGAGAGGGAGAGAGAGAGAGAGAGAGAGAGAATGGTCGTGCAAGAAGAAAGCCGACGGGCAAAGCGGTAATGGCAATAAGGCAATTCGCGCGATTTAATTATTCCTCGCCTATAACAATAACATGCAAATTTAACAAACAAGCAAAGATAATGAACTCATTAATCAACCCTGTGCCGCCGCATGAGTACAATTTACAGCTAATTTGGTTGACGCTAGCCCTGATGTTGAAACTTAAGTGAGCAGTCTCCGGCTCTCTTACAAAAAATATATATATCATTTAATGACAAACTTAATGATTTTCAATATTAAAAGTTGACGTTTTCATTTTACCATTGTTCTTTGGTCGGAGGCAATAAAAAATCGCTTCTCGGCAGGAGTTCAGCGATGTGAATTTTTTTCTCCAAAATCTATTATCATTAAGTTTCGATCGTGATGGTGTTAACATGTTGGGGAAGACGGAAATGCTTCACATCGTGTGGCAAAATGCATTTAAGAATACGTGTGCGTGCGTGCGCGTGTGTGTGTGTGTTTGAGCGTGTGGGTGTGTTTGTGCGTGTGTGTGAGACTTTCTTTGCGCCCATAAATGTAGATTAGGGCCGTATTCATAAAACATTTCTAAGCCTAATTGGCAAGTAGACCCTATTTTTAAAAAAACAGTTGGTAACAAGCTTAGAAATATTTTATGAATATGGGGGCTGTACTTCGGCAAACCTTTGAATTTATTGAAAAAAACATAACATTATTTTTGGGACTCGATAAATATGATAATAGAAAAGCCAGCATTTTCTAAACATCTCATGTGTAACGTTTCTTTTACTTCCTTTTTTTCTTCTTTTCAAACTTGCTGCCCAATTTAAGAATGCGCCCATGTTAATGGATATGTGAGGTCATATGAACATACCCCTCTCATATCGCCTACTCCACGCCTTTCGTCCTTTCTCTGTCTCTCGTGTTCACCCACCCACTCTCTCTCTCTCTCTCTCTCTCTCTCTCTCTCTCTCTCTCTCTCACACGTCTCCCTTTCTCACTCTCTCCCTTATCCTTTCCCCTCTCATTTTCCTTGATTATTTAGTATTCAGACTATAGTGCACGATCCGCCTGTCACGTCGATCAGAAACAAAATTCTGTATACAACTTTGAAAATCCCACTGATATACATTATGATGATCATAATTGCGCCCACGCATCAGGAGGCCAACAAAAAGATTATTTAGACGAAGAGGAACGTCGTTCGATTTTGAATGATGTACACGAAGCTAATGAGCGTCAAAGCGCAAAGCACAAAAGATTGAAATTCAAAAGTTTTGCATTCGTGATAGAAATATTGCACCGTTTTCAGACAATTTCCGAACGCAATAAAAGATGTTTAGAAAACCCTTAGAAATGCCATTATTATGGGGAATTCCCCCTAACCTGGTATCTCAACAAAGACTTTTTTGCTTCTTATAATCTCTCTTTTTCATTGAGATTTGTCTCACTATTGGTAACACGATTATAGACAAATAAGTATGATGAAAATAATACATTACTTGAACGAGAAGAGCAGTAGTCTAAATGTTAGTAACTTTAACTTTTTGTTGTTGCAGTAAACTGGTTATTTGGCCAAGCAATGTTTATACAAACTCACGAAAACTCACTTTAAAAAAAAAATCATTTTGAATGTCAATACTGCGCAAACAGCACTCAAGTCTGTATGCTCGATAAATTCGGGCCTTTCCAGACCAATATTTTCTATATTTCCATGTTTATTTCTTTCGCTATACTTCTTTCGAAATTCTTTTGGAATTGTTAATTTATAAGGTTTTCAGAGTCAGTGTAGTATTAGGAGGACTCTGTACAAATTTACATTTGTATTAATTATGAAAAGTACGATAACATTATCAACATGTCCTTGACAGCATCAATGTTCTGTGATGACATGAATAGAAACATGTGAATTCACTCGAACATAACGCAAGGACAATTAATTGTTATATTTATGTGTTGATGTGTAATGCGATGTCACGAACATGGATACATTAATAGAGATAACATAATGCATCTTTCATTCTCTTCCACACTTTTTCCTCATTGATTATTTTGTCCGTCTTTCTCATTTTATTATGCTATTTCCTTCCTGTTTCTCCATTCCCTCCCACTTGCTTGTGCTCGCTCCCTCTCTCCCTCCCCCTCTCTCTCTCTCTCTTTCCTTCTCTCTCTCTCTCTCTCTCTCTTTCTCTCTTTTTCTCTCTCTGCAACTACCTCCTCTCCAGCCTCTTCCGCTTTCCCGCTCTCTTTCTCTCATTTTAGTATGAAAAATGATTGATTTCATTTCCGTCTCTGTCATCATCTCTTTTCCTATCTTCCCTTCTGATTTGGCTAAGTACATGATCTAACAATCTTTTACTCTTATTTTTACTATGCTGGTTTCCCTTTTAAAAGGCAGTCTCGTCATATATTAATAACAAATGTATTCCAGTGTTTGTTCAAAAAATAAAATGCAAAGTTTCCCGCAGTCTAAACCGAATGAGGAATGCGATAAAAGCTAATTAAGTTTTACACACGAGACAGACTGTACAATGAAGACGGATGAACGTGGAGTAGACATTGTAGATCGGGTAAGGTTAATCACAGACCTCTTTTGAGTGGTGTTTTCATCAGGGGCTAACCGGCACCCAATAGGGTCACTAAGGCTGGCGTCACGCACAG